TGTTACCCTTTTTTTTAATTTATGCCAGGAAGACTGTTACCATAGCTCTATGTTAAAGCAAGCCTGTCACTATAGTAAAATATTAAAACTAGGGCCAACCCGTAAAAAATACTTACTTACCCGACCCAAATCGCCATTCTCTTAAATGACTGGGGGAGAAGCAATGTGGCTACTCTTGCCAGGCACTGCATCCCTACCGTGTCCTGTAGTAATGTAGCAGCTGGCAATGATGGGCCAAATGGCAAAATTTCACTGAAACCCTCCAATTTTCATTAAAAGAGAACTATGGGGCAAGTGTTTTTCCCCATAGTTCTCTTTAGGGTCACGGGAGGACATATACTAACCTCCTCTCGTGACCCAAAGCTCAGTATATAGCGGCTGTTGCCCGCAATATACTGAGAGCGCCGCAGCCGAGACGGATGCCGACATTACTGTCAAGATCCACCCAGCTGAAAGACTGATAGCTGGCTCTGCCTATCTAGAGGCAGGGCCAGCTGTGCCCGCCCCCTGCCTTGTCCGTTCCCCCACTCAACGCTGTGTCACAGCTCTTTGTCACAGGTCGGCTCTAAGTATGAGGATGAGTGGAAATCACTCAGCTCATAGATCTCCTTTAAATGTCAGGAAAATTAAAACTCTAAACTGTGAGAATATACTGTATACACATACACACACATATATATATACATTATATATATATATATATATATATATATAAATAATATAATAATTTATATTTATGTTCCCAATAACCTTTTTTTAATAAGTGTGGGTCACTGACAGAGGATTAGCATTGCAGCTGAGTTCATATCTTCACCACCGGGCTGATGACCGCGGATTAGAGCACTAGTACAGCAGCTGCACTCAGATTTAGATGTGATCAGATTTGGACGGAGACCCCCTGCTGATTCCTTCTCATTTCATCTATTGTCCCTGCCTATGTAGGTAAGCAGTACATTTCCAGGCCTATCATTCAATGGGGCTCATGTATCACCGTCTCAGAACAAGGAGCAGAGTGCTGCTGAGACACTTTAAAATCTTCTTCCTGATTCAACCGGTATACAGTGGCTTTTTTCCTATTTTGTTGTATTACCACCTGGAATTAAAATGTATTTTATGGAGGTTTGTATCATTGGATTTACACAACATGCCTACCAACGTTGAAGATGCAAAATATTTTTGATTGTCATACAAGCAAGAAATAAGACAAAAAATAAAAATAAATCTTGAGTGTGCATAACTATTCACCCCCCTCAAAGTCAATAGAGCTCTTGGGGTTCGTCTCCAAAACTTGACAAACAGGTTTCCCTCACGAATTTCCCTGTATGTAGCACCATCCATCATTCCTTCAATTCTGACCAGTTTGCAAGTCCCTGCTGATAAAAAAAACATCCCCACAGCACGATGCTGCCACCACCATGCTTCACTGTGGGGATGGTGTTCTCGGGGTGATGAGAGGTCTTGGCCCTGTGCCAGACATAGCGTTGTGCTTAAAGGCCACAAAACTTTTCTTTAGTCTCATCTGACCAGAGTACCTTCTTCCATATGTTTGGGGAGTCTCCCACATGCCTTTTGGTGAACAGCAAATGTGTTTGATTATTTTATTCTGTAAGCAATGACTTTTTCTGGCTGCTCTTCCTTGAAGGTCAGCTCTGTGGCATGTACGGCCTAAAGTGGTCCTATGGACAGATACTCCAATCTCCGCTGTGGAGCTTTGCAGCTACCTCAGGGTTATCTTTGGTCTCTTTGTTGCCTCTCTGATTAATCCCCTCCTTGCCTGGTCCATGAGTTTTGGTGGGTGGCCCTATCTTGGCAGGTTTGTTGTGGTGCCAAATTCCTTCCACTTTTTTAATAATGGATTTAATGGTTCTCCGTGGGATGTTCAAAGCTTCGGATATTTTTTTATAACCCAACCCTGATCTGTACTTCCCCAGAACTTTGTCCCTGACCTGTTTGGAGAGCTCCTTGGTCTTCATGGTGCCCCTTGCTCAGTGGTGTTGCAGTCTCAGTGGCCTTACAGAACAGCATATTTACTGAGATCATGTGACAATTAGATTGCTTCATAGCAAAAGGGGTGAATACATATGCACGCACCACTTTTCCATTTTTCATAATTTTGTTAAAACAAGTTATGTTCTTGATTTCACTTAACCATTTTTTGATATTTTGTGTATGTCAATTACATGCAACCGCCCACCACCCCCCCCCCCCAAAAAAAAACCCAAAACATTTTAATTCCAGATATTAATGCAACAAAATAGGAAAAATACCAAGGGGCTGAATACTTTTGCAAGCCACTGTATGTTGTTGGGCTGAAAGTTTGGTACACCTCTCCTCCAATAAAAAGGGCAACCAAAAGCACCCACCATTTCTATAAGAGATTAACACTGTACAGCAATCTGATTTACTCTCTAGATGTGACCATTACTGAATGCAGAAATAAAATGTAGGCATCAGAACTAAATTCCATCACTGCAGGCATACAACTCTGGCATCCAAGCAATACTCAGTTGCTGGGATTATCTTTTTTTACGCAGAAATATTCTTGTTTTGAATGTGCTCAATGGTAAAACCAGCCTTGCCTGCTATATATATCCCAAAAGAAATATCATATTATGGATTAGCAGCTTATTAAACCATAGAGGCAGAAATTCACATTATATAAAGGCTGATAACAGCTTAGCAGGCAACAGTTATTCATAAACACACCAACCCTTCTAGGGGATACCAGAGTTGTCTCACTGCCAGTCTAGGCTAAGATGCACTCTTTTGACCAGTCTCCCTTTAGATCTGTTGCTAGTCATATACCTCCTGAAATGTGTTACTGAACATATTTGATTATCCCTAGCAAATGGTTTAATAGGTATAGTGTCTGCACAGGAAAGCTAAATCTTTTCATTTACTCAGGAAGGGGGCAGCTCTTCGCTCATACACTTTGATAGAGGAGTTTGCAGTGCTGCAAAGCCACTGCTCTTATCTGCCGTCAGCTTTGCAGCAAGGAAACTGCTCATTAGTTCTTAACAGAAACCTATGGCAGCCCCTAGTTTATCACATAGTCTGTCAGCTTTGCCGATTTCAGATAAGGGCTCAGACATAACAAAATCTACACTACTTTTATAAAAGCTGAGGGCTGTAAATCACAGTCCCCCACATAAGAGCAATTCACACCGGATCCATTGCATTGCAATAAGTTTTTCATGCTAACGGAAGGGCACTGATAAATGAATGGGTGCGAATGGGGCTAGTTCACATCGCTCCATTTTGTTGCGCTACGCTGCACTGAACAAAAAAGTAGAACATGCACTAATTTTAAGCGCAGTGTAACGCAACGGATCCGGTGTGAACTAGCCCCATTCATACCCATTTATTTTTTTGCTGCCCTTCCGTCACTGAAAAACGGATCGCAACGCAATGGATCGGAAGAAAATTGGAAGGTACAATTGCAAGTCAGCGGACCCTCTGTGCAATTTCCTTCTGATTTTGGTGTGAATGCACGCTCAAGCATTAGGGGCTAGAGGGTAGCTGTCTAACCAGGCTTACAGAAGGTGGACATTTTAGGATAGTAGTGCTTGCAATGCAATAGAATTTGTTTGGCTAACAACTCCCTCTTTTAGCCTAATTTCCAGTGGACAAGGGCATATCGGGATTTACCATACAGATTCATTGCAAGGAGTTGTATTACTTTTTAAAAATACATTTTTGCATCAGTTTGAATTTAGTGAATGGAGTTCTGCTTTAAACATCTCCGTCTGCTGTAGAAATCTGTGACTGACATGTAAAGTCATGTGGCCTTTTCTGTGAAAGATGACAATCCATCAGATATTAACATCATCTGTGCGGTAATGATATTGTATATCAGAGGAAGGTGGTAAACATGGCTGTAAGCTTTAATTACTTAGCTGCAAAATGTAAGTGCATTGAATCATTATATTCCTCTCTAACAATACGACAAGGAAACCGGAGAAGAATACAAAGCATTTAATCAATAAACACACAATCCCCGGCTTAGACACAATTAGCTAAATATGTTTATTATGGTGTAAAGGAAGCAGGTAACATTTTACTGGTTACAATGTAACCGCAGAGCTCCGATACGTGAAGAAACACCAGAGCATGCAAAATACCCTGATAATGCTTACAGTGACATGGCCGTTATATGGATGACACATGCAGCTGCTGTTCAACTGCCACTCAAAAGAGAATTCCATACATATTATAGTTTCAAAAACCGCACCCAATCAGTTTTTGGTCAGGAGCCCCTTTTGTTAGGCACTTAGAGCAAAGGAAGATCCTAATGCTTCCCTAACTTGTAAATTATGAATTACGGGGATCTCAACTAAAAATAAAGATTTGCTATCTTATAGGAAACATCTAGCAATGTATATTGCACCTAAACAGTACCCTAAATGCCGTGCCTTAAACCTCAGTGTGCAGTGTGAGATGATCTTAGGCACTATTACTGCTACCGACTGCTAGTTTCACCAGATCTGATGTGATATTTGATGATGTCACTACTGTGCTGCTCACTGTTTTCTTTGCTGGAGAGGAAGCTGTACCTGAGCACCTGCAGTTCAAGGATCTCCCTGCTTCATTCATTCTGTGGATTTGTGCTTCCTCTATCTGTCCTGCTGCTTCTATTATCAGACCACTAAACATCTCCCCTACCAAGATGGCAGTTTCCACGCACAGACACAGTGTAGAATAAGGTATAGTAACTTGGAAATAGGGAAAAATCATCTGCAAGGAGCCCACACGCAAAACTGGTGACTCAGTTTGCCTCATTTGAGTACAGCTTCCACAGAGCTTCACTCTTTAACAGTAAGCTCTCACCCGAAACAAAACACTTAATTGGGAGATGATGTTTCTTTGATGTGGCTTCATATTTGCACATATACAACAAGCAATTAAAAGATTGCTGCAGGGCACATTGTAATAGCAAACGCTCCTTATGAACTGCTGTGTGCTATTTCCTTCACCCAAGACACCTTCAGATGAAGTATTACCTGCCAGAAGGAGATATGGCTGTCTTTGTTGGAGTATGTGGCAAGATAACGTCCGTCAGGGGCAAAAGAAACTGCTGTAATCGGTCCTTTGTGACCATGGATATGCTGCAAAATAAATAAAAAGATATTCAAGAATTAATTATATTTAAACATTTCTCCTTTTGCCTTGAACATTTTTTTTACAGGACAGATCATTATTTATTTATTTTTAAGTTAGACATATTTATTTTAGGACAGATCATTATTAGTGAGAAGTTAATTCCCTTTTCTGATTTATTTTTTTGCCCATTTTACCCTTGAATGCTCACGTTAATGACATGGTATAGGATATTTGTGACTGTCATTGCTTACCTCCACAGCACTTCTAAAAGTGGTAATTGGTAGGAAGAGTTAAGTCCAGTGTGCAAAGTACAATCACCACCGTGTGCCTGTTCTTCTGATCTACCTATTAAAAAAACTTAAACCACGATGGTTCCAAGGTCCTTATCTCACACCTACACTTTATGGCCTATATGAGCTTGTTGGACAACCCATTCTAAAACCATAGTTTTTTTTTTATATGGAGCTGCCCTATTTTTCACCTATACAGCTTCTCTTTCCTGGGAAGGACTTTTGCAGGATTTTGAAATGTGTGCCCATTCCATACCATTGACAAGAAGAGCAGGCTCATAATTGGTGTTCCATTTCATTCCATAGGTGCTCAGTTGGTTGGAGGTCAGGGCTCTGTGCAGACCAGTGGCGGACCTAAGGAACAATTGGCCCTGGTGCAAGATTTTTTTTGTACCCTGTGCCTGAAGGCTGCTCTGCCTCCCTGCTAGGCGGCCGGTCGGCGGCTGGTCTCACTATCTCTTGCCCTACCCTGCTATTGGTCTGGTGCCTGGGTCTGCTGCCCCCCCCAGGGTCAGGCCCTGGTGCAGCCGCACTAGCTGCAGTTCCGCCCCTGGTGCAGACTATTTGAGTTCCTTTACGCCAAACTCAACAAACCATGTTTTTATGGACCTGGCTTTGTGCACAGGGGCACTGTCAATCTGGAACATAAAATTTCTTTCTCCAAGATGTTGCTACAATGTTGAAGGACAACAGTGTGAAATGTATTTTCCCTACATTTGTTGTAGAGAAGCAGACAAAAAGCTGACTTGACATGATCAGAACAATCTTGATAGCTTAAGTCTTTATCACCCAATGGTTCATACAAATGTTTGTTGTAAACATATTAATAAAGAAAATATATTTGAGCGTTGTTTGTGTGCTGTATACCGCATTCTACCTCTTTACTACCGGAGGCTTACTGTACATTATAAAAGCAAGTACATCTTACACATTCTATATTAAAAAAAAAAAAAAAAGTAGCTTCTGCTTGCACTTTGCTGGTAAGCGCCCGTGTGATGTGCTTGGTGCATAAGTTTATCGCTTTTGATTTGAACTGTAACTGCGTCCAGCTGTGCCTCCTTCAGATCCGACCATTGTCCAAAGACTTGTTAATCCAGCAGCTCTTGATCTCTAATGATTAGGAATGCTTGTGTGCGTGTGTTCTACACAGGCTCCTAAGCTGTTCTGCTACACCAAACAGCATAACTTATTGGGCTGCTTTGATAAAACTTTGTGACACAACATTCCATCTGTTCGAAATGTTGACTGCAGTTCCACTGGATAATCATCGCATCAAATCCTCCCAGGCCCTCACAAAGACCTCCTACCACTGTCTCCTGATGTCCATACACTTTCATTTCAGCGTGCAGCTTTTGTTACCAAGGGCTTAAGACTGGGGTATTCTGCATATGCGATCTGTTATCATAATGCAAGTTACAGAAATGTTCCTGTGTTTTATGAGACTATACAATAAAAAGGTTTACTATATTGAATGCTAAATGCACTGATGCACCTAAAAAAGTTTACTAACCATGTGTACTGTGATGCGCTGCTTTACAAAAAATAACGGATGCACCATTTGTGGTGCACTTTGGTGTGTTAGTCAGCCCCATGTAAGGCCTACCTTACAGCAAGGCACTTTCATAGTTACATAGTATTTGAGGTTGAATAAAAATACACAGGTCTATCAAGTTCAACCTATTGTGTGTATGCATGTGATTCTGCATGTGTATGAGTGTGTACGAGTCCCTGTGTGATCTTGTTTTTAAGGGTACCTATACCCCTGTAGGTTACTTTCATACACAGCAAGAGTATGAATTAGGACTTCGGCTTTACCTTAGAGATTAAACACCTACATCTTAAAGACCTGAACTGTATCTCAACCCGAAGGAAAAATTGTAATATATTGCAGCTTACCAATTTTTAGATGTGGTGGCTGCATTCGTTTTTCTCTATTTTCACCTGGTGATCCGGCCAGTAATTGTTAATTTTAGGGATGCACCGATACCACTTTTTTAAGACCGAGTACGAGTACCGATACTTTTGATCAAGTACTCGCAGATACCAATTACCGATACTTTTTCTTAAAGGGACAGGTCACATTTTTTCTAAAGCAATACAAACTAATGCTTTAAGGTCACTTTCTTAATATTATGATTCATGAGATGATGAGGGTGCATGACGCTGGCTCAAAGAAAATTAGAAAATTAACTAGGGATGCACCGATACTAGTATCGGTGCATCCCTAGTTAATTTTCTAATTTTCTTTGACAGGCCAAGCTGCCCAGCAAAAGCTGCAGTTAGAGGGTTGAGACAAATTTAACAATGACAGGGGGGTGCTCACAATGGTTAGATGTATTCATTTATGTAAAAACCTTCATACCCAAACTGTGGCTGTAACTGCCTAATAAGTGTAAGCTACAGTTCAGATTTAGTTTGTTAGTCCATCTACACCTGCTAGTACACCTAACACGACCCTCCCCACAGGGTGACAATCCTGCTCTCCAAGAGGGACTCTATTCCTCCTTCATAGAGTGGAGCCACCCTAAGACAGGAAGTGTGTTCTGGTCGAGGAAAAAAAGAACTAATGCAGCCACCACATTTAAGGATTGGCAAGCTGCAATATTTTACATTTGTTGGGGGGTTTAGATACACTTTAATTAAAAATGCCTGGACAAATAGATTTCTCACCTGTATGATGAAATGTAACCTTTGACCCCCAAGGAACACAAATAAAATATAAATCACAGCACCATTATACGTACTCTTTGTATAAGTATTCTTCCCATTGGACTTTTCCACATGTAGTATTACAATTAGAAAATGGCATATTCCTAATTGTGGTTTTTACTATTTGCCAATAATAATAATAAGTGCCGAACTGAGATTAGACGGGGAGCACAAGACTAGCCGTGGTTCACAATTTGGGTTTTAGCAGCACATACACAGTTAACCCTTTCTTTCCACAGAATGCTTAACACAAGCAGCACAAGGACTTTTCAATGAGTTGCAATGTTCGGAAGCACTCATCATTATCCCCCCAAAAAGGGCAACATAGACATTGCTTACAAGCAGTGCTTGGATCCAGTTAGTTACTTGCCTGGCTTAGTAAGGAATGTAAAAAGCCTCAATAATGATGGTGGATACCTTACCTGGATCTCTGAGACCATGGCAGAGGCATCAGGAGCTGTGGGGGTTACGCATACTACCCAAACAGTAAGGTTAAGGCAATCCCCGGGTCCAAAAAAATAAGTCATGGCAGGACCAAGTCGGAAAAACAACATACAGTAGTTGCATAAAGAGCATACATGGCTGCTCCACCTACATATATGCTTTAAAACATTTATTTTTCTAAAGCATTTAAAAAAGAATTCACATATATGTAAAATCAAAACCAAAAATAGTCTACCTGGCCTGGCTTCTATATTAAAGGCAAACTATAGCCCATTTTATTTTAATAGACTGGGGAAGGGTTGGAGTTTCTGTCCTTATTGGGGAGATATTCTCTTTCTACCTGTCATGACAGGAAGTGATGGGAAATCTTCAAAGCAGGCATAGACAAAAGCAGAGTAGAGAAGAATTAGAACTTATGGCCAAGCTTTTATTGACACCAGTGCCATTCTGCATTGTTGACTACCATATCCCTCATTTCTTGGACAAGCATCGTAGGACAAGGGATTGAGGGAAAATCTCTCCAATGAGGTCACAGATAACAAGCAGACAGAATTAGGTATTTTCCATTCTATCTAAAATATTTAAACAAATTGGCTGAAGATTGTCTTTTTTTTGACTCGGGCTTCCCTTAATCGTACTGTATAGGCAGTACGCGTAACCCCCATGGCTCCTAATGCCTCTGTCATGGTCTCAGAGATCCAGGTACGGTATCCACCATCATTATTCTCTATAAACATTTTCTAATAGGTCTATTCCAAACAAACGTCTACAACGGCGGATATAATCGCTCTCCATATAGCGCTTGTGGCGTTTGCAGTGTGCATCACATGATTTCTCAGAACCCAGGCTTCCAATGAGAGCACAAAGTGACCTTGAGGAACAGTGTATAAAAATACATTTATCACTGAAATGGCATGTTGCCTGTCAGTCAATATATGCCTCTCATTTGTTAGAAGGCCGTCCTGCTGTGATTCCCTCATTACAATTTGCTTTAACTTCCTGGGCAAATGACAAGCACAAAATGAAGCCGCTTCTCTCTTCAGCAGAGTTAATCTACAGAGAAAAAAGTGACAGCTGCAGCTAGCCTAGTGTTCCTGAAGCTTCAGCAGCGTTAACCCTTCAAACATATGTAAGTTTTATCGCAAGTGGCGTTCACTCCAATGCGGAAGAAAAATCCATGACATTTTCTATAATAAATAAATGAAAAGAAAAAAAAAAGGAAAAGATCAAATATTTTTACTGTATCTTTTTATAGGACAGTCATGATGGATCCATCAGGAAACCCAAGTGACACCTCTCCATTATGGACTGTCATCAGGTGATCTGTCCTACTTCCTACAACCCAGACACTGTAACTGACTGTGACTTTGCCCACTTAGGGTGAAGTGATGGTGTCTGCTGTTAGCCCACCCCAAGCAAGTTATACTCGGCTATCCTTCCCTTTGCCCGCCCCCTCCCCTGATGTATCCCCACAGCCCACCCTCCCCTGCTATAATGGAGTAAGGCTTACGGAAATGGGGGAGCATGTGACCATGCTTGGGCCTCAGCAGCCAATCTCTCGA